GGCGAGTTTAAGGCAGTAGTTCAGAAGGAAAAGATGCGTGATCGCTGTGATTGTCCCTGATGATGGCTCTGAGCGTGAATCAGAAACTTCAGGCCAATCAAATTATTGGTCTAGAGATCGCATCTTCTCCTGCTGAACTTCGACTTATGCTGTTTTTGTTGTTGGTAATCCTGATGCTGCCGCTGGAGACAGCACACGGTTGAAATGGACTTATATACAAATATATAACATACAAATAAAATAATCCCAAGCCCAGACCTCAGTAGAGTTTGGTCTTATGACAGTCAACACGAAAATTGATTCGGACGAGGCCCACTGTGTACCCCACAGCATGGCTGTTCAGGAAGGGTGACTTTCGCGTAAAATTCGTTTTAAATGGGAGTAGACTTGCGCCGTATCTATCACACTCTCTCATCCCCCGTCTGGGCCCGGTGTCATGACCAAGTCAAGAAGACTGAAGGCGAGAGAGGGTGCGTGACGAGAACCCGCATCTGAGCATGTCGCCATACCGGCTCGGAACCCACAGGGTGCGATTGCCATAGAGGTCACATTAAGAAAGAGTCAATACAGCCTGCCTCGTACCCTACCAGTCGGCCAGTCCACACAAATACGCACTGGGCTGACTGTGAAATCTCAGTAATCTCGCCAGTCAGCAATCTTCCAAGCCACAACTTTTAGCGCACCGTGATAGTCTCAGCCACGTCATATTGTTTGTAGTGGTGAATATGCCCGTCGCCTCACCTCATCATTGGTGAGCAACAAAAGACGGAAAGAACGAGACTAATGTTCTCACATGCTCGGTCGGAGGAACTGTTTTATAGCCATCGGCCATGTCCGAAACAGTCCACCAGACCGCCTACATATAATACGCTCGGTTTTACAGCGCGTCATCTTCTTACCGCTATGGTTCTTCAAATTCTCAAAAAAAAATAAATAGTTTCTTTCGATATTTGGCTGATACCTACCACGTAATAGTTCCAATTAATAACATTTAGGTACAAGTAAAAACGACCGTTTAACACCACTTTCTACTACTCAACCGCTACCGTAGTGCTCTGGTTATTAATACGTTCTTCCTCCTGGTATGTTTAAAAAGGATATATCTGCATTCCTAACCCCACACGAACGCAGTCTCGCCCGAAATTCCCCGCTGTCAGCCCATTTAGGCACAATGTCTAAAAAAGCATGGAAGGTTTGGTCTCACACTGCAACACGCTAGTAATCTAGGGCTCACGCAGACTTGTTACAGTCCAACCAGCGCTAGTTAGGTGTCGATACTGACCGCCTGATTGAAGCCGGGGAATCTGAAGAGAAGTGAATTAGTCGGTTTATCGATCTGGCGCCGGCATACAGAGCCCTACGCAGTCATTTCCGCATTGGCGTCACTGGTGTTTGGTTTTTCCCTGCATTCCATAACTGTTGCTTGCTTTTTTGTCATTTCTATCTTTGACGATGGACGAAGGCTCAGATGAATAAAGCCATAATTTTGGCAAGCAGAGATCCTACTACTTTTCAATTCTTATTGACCGTTCTTTGGATCCGCGCTCAGACAAATACAAATGTTCTCCTACTGATTACACCATCTTCTTCCGTGTAACAATAACCTGGGGCTCGCATATTCGCTTCCAATAACGCAATAGATACCGTTCTCTGCCGGGAAGGGGCTAACTATAAGCCCTATCTATTAATTATTTTTAACTCTTGTATAATACAAGCTACCGCAATGCGCCCTAATAGGGGTCGTTTACGGTGATGTCTCCGATCTACACGAACTTTTTCATTATAACTCATAGGCTCCCCTAACCACGTTGGATATTTGGCAGGCTACATTGCTCTCTCTCTCTCTCTCTCTTTCTCTCTCTCTATCTATCTATCTATCTATCTCTCTC